CTAGGGAGCTGGGGAGTATCACCAGTAAGCCGGCTGAAATTGGCTAACTCATCACAAGCCTTTTAAAATGCAGCTGGTTTTCAGGCCAGCTAAAACATGCCAGTGTATAATTGTTACTGTAAGACGCACATGAACCTCCCATTCGTTCTGTCACATTGCATGTTGCGGTGCAGCACCACATCTTGCAGCAGTGCACACAAATGGCTCATTTCAAAGGAAATTAGTACCAGTAACTTATACTGTTCTTTGGCTCCCTTTTAATTTCCCAGGACTTTAGGCAGACACACTGTCCTCTTTGTGTGCAGTTACAGCCTGGCTTCTCCAGTCCCCAGCTCCATTCTTTCTGCTCTTTGTCTGCCTCTGGGCAAAATAAAAGCTGGCACAACGCACTTGTTTCAGAATCTGCTGCTGCAATAGATATGAAATGACTCGACAATTGGTTAATTGGACCTTTGTATGACGTTGTCTCGTAAATGATAACCGCAGGTCGGACTCAGTTGGACCAGTGACCCCAGCCAGGCTCCACACTGCACTGCTTTGGGTCATTCTTCATTCCCATTTGTTCAGGAGGAAAATCCTTTCCCCTTGACTCAGAAAATGCCCATGATCATAGAACAGAATTATAAAAATTGCAGCACAGAAAGAGACCATTTGACCCATTGAGCCTGGACTCTTTTGCTGAGCTACTCTAATCACAATTCCTTGTTCTTCCTTGCAGCATTTTAGTTTTAATTGTTATTCTTTACTTCAATAGCTGTTTGTGCAAAAGCTTTCAATTTTCTAATAATAATCATTACATTTAGTATAGAGCCTTTCACGTTGGGAGGACGTCCCAAAGCGCTTCAGAGGATGCACTGTAAAGTGGAGTAACTGTTTTGTAGGCAAATGCAGCAGCCAATTTGATTCAACTAGCAGCGGAAATTGGTATCTGGTATCTTCTGAAAACCTTTCAACATTTTACTATTCTCCTGAGGGTAAGGAAGGCTAAGTTGGCTCCAAGGAGACATGTTTAGCAGTGGAGTGCCTTGATTCAAGTCGCTCCTTTGTGGCAGTCTTGGTAGTCCTGAATCAGGTTGGTTCATAACACTTTAGGACAGGGATGGCCAACTTGCTAACCGCATGACTACACATTAGTAATGCGGAACGCAGGCTACAAGTTAGCCATCCCTGCTCTAGGACACTGCTAATGACAGACCAGCCAGCTGGGCTCTCAGCAAGACTTTGAGAGGCAGACCAATCACTGGGAGCAGCAATCCTTCCCACACAGCTCCCTCTAATCCTGCAAGTCCTGCTGTATAGGGTATTCCTAACAAGTAGTGGAAAGCTTGCCAGACAGTGCTCTCAATGGCACGCTATTTGGTTTTAGCTGGTTTAAGTTCAGCAGTACCCCCAAAGTGCACTCTGGCAGGAGCCAAGGCTTGGGACCCCAACCGTTGCTGAATACTCTCAGGAATTAGGTAAGCAATATCCAGGGAGAGAGTGGCCATTCTGTTCAGAGATGGGGAAATTTATATGTGGAGGTGATATACATATTGTGGCACTCTGTCTGGTTTGTAAACTCATAAGCTTAGTGATGAATTTCCACATGTCAGACATGGGCTGACCAAAACAAATTCATTTTGAAAATCTCTATAAAATGCATCTTAAGCCAATCATAACTCTTTACCCTGGTGCCATTCGCATGAACCTATGTTGCACCCTCTCAGCACTTGTCTTTTATTTGATGGCTGCCTTTGGATTCTGCTAGTTTATGGGGAAGAAACTCACAAGAATCAGCATTTGGGAATGTTGTATTTATAGAGACAACATTACTTTTTATTAGTTGAATTTCTTCTTGATCAACGGCAGGAATCTGCGTGTGATTTAGTGGAATTTCGTACCTATTAGTAGCTCCTAGATAATGAGATGAAGATTCATCTGGATATTGAACGCTAGTGAGGTTCTTTGCCGGGCTGGGATGATTTGTAGGCAGTTTGATCCGTTGCACATATTTACTTTACAAGTATATTAGTGCTGATCTATTGCAGCGCCTGTAGACCTTGACAGACCAGAATGATGCTGAATGCATTAGCCTTTTTTTTACATATTTATGTTTGAGCTAGGTGAGTGTTGAAGAAATATTAGAATATCAATTCCGTGTCTCTAATTCCAAGGGCTGCTGACCACGACTGCATTCCTACAGTGGATTAATGCAGCGCTGTGAAATGGAGTACTGTAAGATGATGTGTTGTCTTACTTTGTCCAATTGATCTAGATGTAGAGTAAACAAATTAAAATGAGTTATTAGAGCTTCTTTCATCCTCTTCCTGGCTATGTTTCTTAACTCAGCATCAATTTTTTTGTGCAAATCCAATACTTTACAATATTGGTAACTTAATGTCACATCCAGGACTGATTCCCAATATTGTAGTGTTGAATGAATAAGGTATAACAGAGTAATGTCCCTAAAGACTGTCCCATACAGCACTCCCAGGTATACCATGGGTTAACAAAGTAAAGTTCCCTCTGAGTGAATAGCTGCTGGTCCTTGCTTAGAAAAAGTCGTTCTATTTGATAGGAATTACCTGCGAAATGTTTGAAACTTTACCACGTGCTTATAGAGGCATGCAAGACGCTAAATGGGATTAAGAAAGCAAACCCAGAACAAAGCCTTCAGATACACCGAGGCAACATTGCAAGAGGAACAGGTTCAGGCACGCAAAGGACGAGTTCAGGGCAGACAACAAGATGTATTTCTTCATACAGAGGAGAATGAACAGTAAGATTACCTGGAAGGGTGGAACATGTTTGGAATATTTTATGAAATAGCTTGATGCCCAACCTGGGGCCAAGTGACTTATTATTTGAAAGTCAAGGAGGCTAGATTCGGGGAAAAGTAATCTAGGGTTAATCCAGTGGAGGACCCACCTATTCAGGTTGTTGAGGAGTTAACGCAGGAGAAAGTGCTTGCTCCGGAGTCGAGTGGATCACCCAGGAGAGTATCTGCCCGTTCTGGGAACTAAGTAGTTAAACCCACGAATCCTCACTCCAGGAGTTGAGGGGTTAACCCGGCAGCGTTCTCAGCCAATGATCCTGTTCTACCTTTTAAATTGTTCCTGGTTTCTTGCTGGCCTTTAGGCTGGAGCAGCTCTGTGTGTGGGGTGACTGACTTGAGTGCTGTTGTATTGTAGGCGATTAGGCAGTAATCAGGTAAGAATGGAACCTCATTGTTTCCCCTCTTTTCTCTCTTTCTTTCTCTCTCTCTCTCTTCCCCCCCCCCACCCCACGTTAGATCAGAGTTGGAGTTTCTGCTCCTGGTCCCTCACTGCTGCTTCATTGCTCAGTCTGTTTTGCTGACGGTGCCTCAGATATAGGAGAGATTTGAACTTTTAGACTATTGTAGGGTGTAATGTGTATTATAGTTTTAAATTTAATGTTGGATTAAAATTATACGTTTGAAGTATTTATAGGTATTTTTATGATGCTTTTTTAAGATTATTTTTATTTACCCTAAAGGCATCAGAAACAACGCTCAGAATGGGGTGGGGTGGGGGGGGGGGAGGAGAGACGAAATTGTAACAGCTAAAATTATACAGAAAAATCAAAATATCAAAGAGCAATATTAAAAGTGAGTAGGCAGAAGTAGATTAGATGACGTGTGAAGAAAATCACCAGTAAAGGTTTGATGAGTCAAATAGCCGTTTGTGTCCTGTGACATTCTATGCAGTCTCCCTGCAGGCGTCTAGGCAGGAATTAGGAGTGGAAGCCCTGACTGAATCTTCCCTTGTAACCCAGTTCAGGGGGATGTTAAATACCCCATGAAACTGCTAGAAAGAAAAGTGAGTTTTTCTACCTTTCCTCGTCAATAATCCTTAAGATCAATCGATCATTCACTTCATGGCTATTTGTAGTCTACTGCTTCTTACATCTACAAAAGAATGGTTACTTCAGTTGAGAGTAATTACTGTAAAACAGGTTTGAGATATTTTGATGTGCTGTAAAAATGCTCTTCTGAGTATGTGCCATAGTGCTGATTTTATTGAGTGAGAGGTTATATGGAGGTGGCTGCACTTAGTAGTTAATGGGTGAGATGTGACACCCTGGAGTGTTAGCCTAGGCAACCTTCTGACAGAAAGGGAGAGGCAGGATTTTTTTGTCGGACCCTTTTTAAAAATTTAGAATCCATAGATGGACCACAATATTCCTTTCTCATGATGTACATTGCTAGGATTTTTTAAGAAAATAAAAAAAAGCCAGCAATCAGGGTGTTTTAGACATATCCAGTGTACAAATTTAGTGTAAAGCCCCAGTGTACAAGTCCCAGCTCAGTAAAACCTGCCCTGGTTCAGGACTGCCACTGTCTGTGTGAATAATAATCCTCATAATCCTTGCATTTTATATATCACGTTTTCAAGACATCTCAAAGCCCCTCATAGAATATAATGTAAAGTGAATTGACTGTATATTTTGTGGGCAAAGGTGCAGCTTTACACAGTCTCTCTCTCTCACTCGCTCCTCAAATTAATTTCTTCATCAAATAGCCATTTCACTGTCCCTGTTAGATGTTCTGTCGAAGTTGCTATGAAGCCACCCCTCGCCCCCCCACATACAATGTTGGGTATGGAGCCTGTTATTAGATTACATTCAGAGCTGTAGACATAGCTATTACAAAAGTGATGACGCAATTGCTGAACCACATTTGTGGTTTTCAGTGTCCGGACTGCCCTCCTGTTCCATCTTCCATCTCACAGAACCCAGTAGCACTATTCTAACTCATGGCTTAAGAGAACATGCATGCGTGCAGTGCTAAGAGCAGAGTGTGTACATAACACAGCTGTGTGCAGTACAAATCATAGTTTGTACATGAGAATCATATATATAGTAGAAATCGGTGTATACATGAGAATGCCTTTAATCGAGAACGTCAGTGCTTGTGTGAGAGCCGCACAAAATGCATATTAGCGTGATAGCTATTTGGTAAGGTGGTCAGATGGATGATTAATGCATTTATTTTTTTCCAGCACTTCCCAGTCACCCAGTGGTATGGCAGCGACCAGCGAGTGGCCGTGCTCCCGCTGTACGTTCCTGAACCCGGCTGCGCTGCGGCAGTGCTCCATCTGCGAGGCCCCAAGGGAGAGGCCGGACTTCAACCACATCCTGCGGCTCAGCACAGAGGAGCAGCAATGGGGCTGCCCACGATGCACCTTCAGGAACTCACCTGCCAAAAGTCAGTGCGATGTGTGTGGCTTCTCTCAGGCGCTCACCCCTGTCACTCCCCCGGCGCTCGCTGCTGCCAATGGCAATGCCAAGAGTCCAGGGGCACCAGCGGAGCCTCGAAGCACCGTTGTGGCACAGGATTGCAGGAGGCCGGCGAGTGGAGATGTTAACGGTAACTGCTGCGAGAATGGGTTACCAAGCACCTGCAAAGCGTGGGCGTGCCAGCGCTGCACGCTTCACAACACCCCTTCCGCTAACTCCTGCTCGGCCTGTGGGGGACCTCGCAAGCTCTCACTGCCCAAGATCCCTCCTGAAGCTCTGGTGGTCCCTGAAGTCCTGACCCCGGCAGGATTCCAGCTTCCCTCAGGCCCATTGCCAGCAAACCCCCAGCTTGGGAACCTGATAGACCTGACTGAGAGTGAGCCGCCGTCAAGCCAGGAAACCCCAAAGGAAGCAGAGAGCCCCAAGTCTCCCATGGTCAGCCCACTTTCACCGATGATCCAGAACAACCCTGTGCCGCGGAGCCGCAGGGAGGTGCCACCCGGCAAGTTCCAGTCGCCTGCTCCCGACACACCGGCCCCAACCGGTGGCTTAGTCAATACGTCTACCTCCCCCACCTCCGCCCCGACTCCAGCCCCAAGAAGTTCCCCCCTGGGACCAGCGAAACCTGCCACCAAACTCCAGGAACTCTTTTGTACCAAGAGACTCAGTGTTTTAGATGAGGAAATGGAGTTGGCCCCCAGTCAGTGGAAGTGCACCTCCTGCTTGCTCCTGAACTCTGCCTCGGCTTCGAAATGTGAAGCGTGCAGGACATTGCGGGGCAGCGACATCATCGACGTGAGCGGAGAGACAGTCAGGTTCACGCCTTTCAACCCCTCCAGCCCGGACTTTACTGTGTGGTCCTGCTCTAAGTGCACACTGAAGAACCCAACCAGCCTCCCGAAATGCAGCGCTTGTGGCTGCTCCAAACTGCACGGCTTTCAGGAGTACAGTCTAACAGAGCGAGGGGCCAGGTGTCTGGACTGTAATGTGGAAAGGGGTCCCAACGGGACTACGTGCCCTGCGTGTGGAGGCAGGTCCTCGGCTGCACGCAAAGCCATCAAGCTCTTCCCCGTCCAGCCCTCGTCCTCTCAAGAGAAGGCCAACGAGTGGTCCTGCCCGGCATGCACCCTGCTGAATGATTTGAAGACCAAGCATTGTGCCGCCTGTCATACACCACAGCAGTACTTCACCCTGAGGAAAGGCTCCAAGCCGCTCAAGAGACGGGAGAGCATCCTGGTGGAAGCTAGGAGGAAAACGGATGAGGGGGAGGCCAAAGAGTTGTGGGAGAACATAGTCAAGTTCTGCCAGGAGGTAAGCCCTCACCTTTGACATGTGAGCAAATCTTGGAGTCAAACGCGGGATTTGTAAATTTTGATTCCTTCCAGTAACAGGACGTAGGTCGCGGGAAGCCTGCTCTGATTCGATTTGTTTCCAGTTTCGCAGTGGAATTCCTTTGGGAAGGCATGAAACACGTCTGCAGGATTCAACATAAAACAGTTCTGTTGAGATGGAGTGGTGGACTGAATTGATAGCGTCAAAAGCAGAGAAGTAGAGTGGGTTTTTTAGTGCCTGATTATGGTTAGGATGAAGAATAATGGATGCTTTTCCTTCCCATGATTCAGCATCTGAGTGTGCTACAGAATCCAGGGTTCGTAAAATCTACTGGTAAACCAAAACTGGTGGAACCAGCTGACTAGCTTCCTGCTGTTCCTGTTTTTTTTGTTTGGTCGCTCATATTTTTATATTCACACTTGGATATCATTTGCATTTGTAAAGGGTGGTTCCTGCAGGTTTACTCAGCTGTGAGTCAGACTGATGCTCTGGGACTCTGCCTCTGACACAACAAACTCGGGTTCTGTTTCCGCAAAAACAGGAGATCAGCATCCGAGAGGTTTTCCAGAGGGTGGGGCTGAGACACATCCAGGTAGCCAAGGACACACACAACTAGAGGTCTAAGCTGATAAATGGAATATAGAGGTACATAAAATGATAAATGGATTGGAGAAGATAAACATTGAACAATGCTTTCAGATAGGCCAAGGCATTGGGTTGAGAGGACACTAGTTCAGGGATATGAAGGCTATGCTTAGGGTAGTCACCAGGAAATGTTTATTTACACAGTGGATAATTAACAGTTGGAACAAGTTGCTCTGAAGGGTGGTTGAGGCCAGGAAGCTGGACTCATTTTAGAAATAGCTTTTATCCTGTAAAGGCAAGATGGTATTCTGCGGAGTGTGGTAAAGTGAATCATATCTCTCCAATAATCTTGTCAGCCTGTTTTCCTTTCTGATTTCTTTATGAGCTATAGAATTACCCAGTTATTTTGCAAGCAGCTTGCTGTCTAACCGGCTTTGGCCACACCGGCGTTTCTCATTAACTTTTTGTCAAGGGCCATAATATCAAAGTTCCTCTCATACAATGACTATCACCGAGCTTTCCTAATCTCGGGTTCTGGGGCCTATGTATTATTCTTGGGCATCTGAAAAAGGTGGATGGGTTTCACAAGAATCCGGGGATGTGTGTCAGCAAGTCTCGTGCAAAGGTTGAAAAGATCAATAAATGTTTTAGGCTATAACAAAAAAAAGTATTAATACAGGGCTTTTCACATTGGGAGAACATCTCAAGGCGCTTGAACAGTTTGCACCCGATCTGGGGGTTGTAGTTGAGCGGGATGGAGGGCAAGGAGGATGGAAGTGGGAGAATGACCGAAGGTCAAAGAGCAAGGGAGGAGACAAGGCAGGTGGAGTGGGTAGGGGCAGAAAGGTTGAAGGCCTGACCGCCGATGGTAGAGTGGGCAGGGCCAGGGATGCTGAGCGGAGGGCACAGCCAGGTTGGCAACGTTTTAGTAAGTCGCAGACCGATGGAGGAACAAGCCTGGAGAGCTTTAAAAGTAAGGACGAGGATCTTAAACTCGATCCTAGGGGATAGGGAACCAGTGAAGTCGGGCAAGGATGTGGGTGATGGGCTCACGGAGCTTAGTGTAGGAGAAGACATTGAACTGCAGAGTCTGAATAATGAAACCAATTTCGTAGAGAATCAAATGCTTGTGGGTGTGGCTCATACTGTTATGAATGGAGTTTGGTTAGTACAGTATGGAAATTGCAGAGACCTTCAAACCAGGCCTAACACACCAGCAAATGTTTCACTTGCGCTAAAGCCCAAGGCTTGACCTTTTGTTGAAGTTGTTGGGACTTTCACACCAGGAATGGAAACCTAAACCCTGCAGGTTCTGAATTAAATAGCTCCAGCTTCATTATCGAGTGATGTTTGGTTTCAGTGTCTCTGATTCAGCGCTGTGAATAAAAGTAGAATAGACCACCTTGTAGAACTGCATTGCTGGTTGCATTCAAATTTGAGCTAATATCTTTGATGGGGGGACACGGGGATGAGAGAGACCCGAATGGTGATGATATAATTTGCCACCAGCAGAGCCCTGCCATTCAAGCTAAGCAAGCGAGACAATGACATTTGGGTTACTCATATATTACTTTAGACCTTTGTAGCTGTGTTCAGTTTTTGAAGAACTATCTAGAACGTCCTCAGATGGCACCTCTGTCACCGGGGCAGGTTTGTCCCCAGCACTAAACAGCCCGACACTGTTATCCTAGTCAAGATCGATACATAACACTACCTAATTGTAAATTTGTTTTATCACTCTATAAAAGGGGAATCAGAAACAGTCACTATACCTGACAATAACTACCTTTCATCTGTTTGGACGTGCTAAGTCATTATAAAAGTGTTTTGTTCTGTTGCATCACTTCTGTCGGTTGCTCAAACTTCCATAACAGACAGGAAATGATTACCTAATTCTGGGGAGTACAATATTAGGTACAGGTTGCTAAGAGCCAAGGCTTTGGGACCCAGAGTTTGCATTGGGGTACTTCTGGAGTTTAATCAGCCAATATTGCACAGCTTAGCATTTAGAGCACTGTTTAGCGAGCTTTTCACTGCTTGTCCAAATAAGACCACCTTATTCATTGGTTAGCGTCAGCTGAATGGAAAGAATCCCTGCTTCCAAATTTTGCTGATGGGCTAGGCTGGCTGGTCTGTTACAGCTCTGGAGTACTGTGAACCTGCCTGGCTAAGGTTGACTCGATTCAAACATTCCATTGCAAATCACGACCTTGGAGCCAGCTCAGCTCTATTGACAGTCCTGCCTTCCCCCCACCTCACCCTGCCCTCCTTGGAAGGTAGTCATAAATTGGACATTTGATATCCCCCAAACACAGGCTGGATAGTGGGCAAAAGAAACTTCCTGCAAGCCTCTTGGTGAGCCAGCAGCACAGCTCAGCATGAAATGTGATTTTTAAAAAAAAAATTATCCAATATAAAAATCTGCTCGAGGATTACTGGAGCACTGAAAAATGCTAATTCTATTTACGTATTGGCAACTATAGAAAGGAGGCTGCCCTTGCAATGTTCTGAAAGGTCAATAAAATCAATATTTGTGAAGAAAGAAGCAGTGTATGCAATGTGAGTGGATGGGTTGAGCTTTCAATTATGAAGAGGAACTTCTTTCAAATCCTCTCACGCTTAATGTTGTGTTCTCTCACCCTGAATCTGCAGCTCAATGAGGGCCCACATCTGATCCCATGTAGCCTCCCAGCTCCTTGGTTAAGCCGTTGCTATCCTGGCTATGTGTATACAATGCAATGGTAGTTCTGCAAGTCCCATTTCCCAGCAGCTGGAAACCTGATAGTAAGTCACTAATATCCAGTTTAGTGGGAGTGCAGTAATTTGTTTTACTGCACTAGGAAAAAGGATTCCCAGAATGAGTGAGCTGCCCTCCCCCACTCCGAACCTCCAGAGATGTACAGGCCTAATCAAGAGGAAACTGCTTGTCCCGTCTGACAGTCCATTACCAATCTTATTTTTGTAGATGAGGCGGTATTCATTAGTGTGGTAAGTGATTGAATTCCCTGCAGTTTATTTATTGAGACTGCAACGCACGGTTGCCCATTTGTTTATTTTGCTCACTGTTGGGGAGCAGAATTCTATTTTGTCTAAAATGTCTTCCTAGAATTGGTTTTCCTCATAATGACTGGAGGCGGGAATACTGCTGATATTTCTCTCAAAACAAGAGAGACTGCAACCATTTGTAAAGTCCTCTACAATCAGCTGATTCAGCAGAAATCACAAGAGGTTCGGATGAAGAAAGCTCTTCAGCCATTGACCTTATCCTTTCAGGAAAAAAACACTCAACCATTTTCCCTATCAAACGGTGAACTGTTTCTTAAACAGGTCCTGGATGTTTCACCTTCCCTGTTATTCTCTTCTGCTTAGAAATGCTTCCTGGTGTTTTCTTGAAATTTCCCCCCTTAAAACTTCAGCAGTGTAGGATAGGCATGATGGGCCAAATGGCTGCAATCTCTGATTCTGTGTCACATTCTCGAAAGCCCCTCCCCCCTCCCCCCCCGCTTGTGTTGCGCTTTTTAACCTACACTGAAGGATTTCTCTTTGTTGAGTAGTACACTTTGTAAAACAGCCTCCTGCTGTCAAATCTGTCATTGAATTAAAATACTGTTTTACTGGGTGTGATTTGAATTACAGTGATAGATCCTTTCATGTCAACGTAATGGTGCTCCCTGTACATTAGCTGCAGAAAAGGCTAATAGCTGTAATCTAATAGATGACTGTTGCACAAGAATAATGTACTGTGTGCTCTCTTATCCAATGGGTTAGATGGCACTTTGTTTGAGGGTACATTGCAACCTTGAACTCACTCCCTGGTATCACTTATTTCAAATGCTAAAGATCTGCATAAGGGTAGGATTCAAGTGGGTTTATGTGATTGACTGTGGCTGGGGTGCACTTCATGTCTATTCTGTGCAGTGACATTTGGAAGATTCCTCAGTGTTTAAAAACTTGCATTTATTCAGCACCTTTCATCTAAAAGAAAGGTTTACAGAATGAAACTATGTGAATGTTACAATGGAGGTAAATACAGCAGCTAATTTGTAAAGTCTCACAAACGTGATGACATTTGCATTTTTGGAATAAACTTGGTTGAGAAGGGAATATTAACTGGAAGGAAAACTTTACTTTGAAATAGATTCTGGTGCCGAGTGATCCTTAACATCTATCTCAATCACAACAGAACATGTTAATGACTGAATTGAAGAAGGGATGATCTGGAAATAAATAAACCTGAATTTGTAATAGTGCATTTCATGTGGGTAGGGTGTCTCAAAATGTTTCACGGGATTTACTGTAAAGTGGAGTGACTCTGTATTTTGTAGGCAACTAATGAAGGTTAGCTTACTTAAACAACAGTTCCTGCTCTTTTCTCTCAGGATCTTTCTCGTGCT